ATAAATTGATGTCCCTGTTGGTAGGAATCAGGCGATCGAATAATATCGCAGGATTCTGCCTTTAGTTAGTGATAAATTCGTCCAGAGTAAAATGGGTATACAATACAGATTATCCAGAGATGGTATGTGAAGTGGGTCTGGAATATGTGTAGCTCTAAAGGACGTTTACAGATTATTTTACTTGTCGAGCTGTTGTAATATCTTACAAAACGAAGTCTTCGTTATGATGGAAACTTGTCAATTATGCTTAGAAAAGAACCTACATAATCAAGAATTATTATTCTTTGCGGCCAAAAAAGATGTTATCTTCACTCTGTTCAACAACAACATAAAAAAAAGCTAATCAAGCAGTTGCATTAAGATTGCTGCATAACCATTGCACAATCTCAAGACACTGGATATTAAGAAAGCTTGTCGATAAGATAAATAAGATCATAGATAAACTATCCAGACAAAGATCAGAGGCATTTTTAGCCCAAATACATATATTGATCTCATTAAAATGCCCACAAAAACATATTCGAAATTATTTTTAATATTAATATTCAAGACAAATGCGAAGAATCCAATAATATGGCCAACCTGAGTAATTCTATGACAAGCGCTAGAATAGGTATCCATGGCAAAAAATAGGAATTTTCTTTTAATAAGAATTGCAAAAGCTGCAGGGAAGAAGATATAAAAGAACAACTAAACACTTCCTATTCAAACGCCAAAGTATTTTCAAATTGAAGTAAATTGAGAAGGAACTGAAGACAAAAGTTAAAAACTTATCAGTGATACAATATGTTTCAGTCACATTAGAAGTGATTACTTAATAGATGAAAGACCACAATAAGCCAACAACAATTTAGGTCTAGCAGAGATATCTATATGCCCAAATCTTCGTACATTGAAAAAATTTAAAACGACTTTGAATATAGAAAATGAACACTTTTCACTGATGTGTTTCAGTTATGTTAGCAGTGATTCGTTATTATATGAAAAACCACGTTAATTTGCGAAAAATTCAAACTAACATAGCCAAATTAGCATAAATATGCCCAAAAATAAAACTTTTCTTATGAAGTAACATGGTATACGGTTAAGACGTCGAATCCAAAGACCAATCATCCCAATGGAAGCTCTTGGCTTTCCCAAGAGCTCTTCAAGCTCTCATACCACGAGTGCCTTCATGCTCTACTTTACTCAAGAAATGGAATATTCTTCATGCTGTTAAAAATAGCGGTGACACCAACCATGGTTATTATAATCTGAAATCGGGAAAAATTGCTGAAACAATCGTAGAAATAAGGATAAGAATTCTTGTTTTGAGTAAGTAAATGAAATTTCATTTATCACAAATCATGATATACGGTTAAGACGTCGAATTCAAAGTCTAATCATCCCAATGGAAACAAACAAAAGAGCCAAGTTCATACATTGTGACCGAAAAGTTTCCGGTCATAAATAAATAAAACGCAAAATTCTTAATCTTCATCAATATTTATTTTATCTCCTTCAAAATAGCTCCATTAGAAGCGATACACAAATGCCAACGTTTCTTCCAATTCATCAAAACATTTTATAGGCGCTTTCCGGTATGGCTTTGAGTTCCCTCTGCGAATTCTGTTTTACGTCTTCTATGGATTCAAAACGCGTTCCTCTGAGTGGTAATTTGAGGTTGGGAAACAGGAAAAAGTCACACGGTGCAAGATCAGGTGAATACGGTGGCTGTTCGATGGTATTTATTGAATGTTTGGCCTTAAAATCGTTGATAATGTTGAACAAATTGAGGTGAATCGGAACAAGCCGGGCGTTGACACGTCGCATACACAAATTGTCCACCAAAATCAAACGAGCCATCTCACGACCGATGCCTAGCTCTCGTGCTATCTCTCTAACACTCACATGAGGATTTTTGAACACGATTTCCTTTGCCTTTTCAATGTTTTCGTCGGTGGTAGAGGTCGAAGGTCGTCCAGAACGCGGCATGTCTTCGACGGTCGTACGACAGTCCTGAAAGGCTTTGTACCACTCATAAACTTGAGTTTTCGATAAAACTGATTCCCCATAAGCCTTTTGTAGCATTCGCAACGATTCTGCACACGAAATTTCGTTCGAAAAACAAAATTTGATGCAAACTCTTTGTTCAATATTTTTTTCCATTGTTTTTTTCGCAACGCACTACTGAGGTGAACTGGTTTCAACAGCTGCCGTAAACGAACTGTCCTGACAGATCGCGCTCATTTTGGCATAGTAATTAAGGACAGTGCTGCCAAACTACATAAACTTAAAATATCGAAAAATATACAGCGCGCGAATTTTAAATGAGAACCTCCGAAAACCTTTCGGTCACAATGTATTACTGGAAGAGCTTTTGGGTATCAAAAAAGGTTTGTCGCATATCAGAAGTACTGCGAGAATTGGAAGAAGTGTATTCAATCTGGAAGGAATTACTTAGAAGTGAAAAAATAGTTACTGATGAATAAATAAATCATTTATGAGAAAAAAGCTTTCACCCCATCTAATAAATAAGCCTGGTAAAACGATGATGATATTAAAATCTTGAAGTAGGGTCACAAAGGAGTGGAAGTGTGTAATACTACATAATATAAGATACTTTTATCAATGAGCAGATCTAGTCTCATCTACTCAAATTTCTACTCTTGTATTTTCTTGAAGAACTTGTTAATTCTAGTATCCCCACAACGTAGGTAGGTAGTGGATTGTAAGAGAAGAGATTAATTAGGTTAAAAGTACCGTTATAGAACATATATAAGAGTGACAATGGTGGTGTAACTTCGACTGGAAAAATCTA